TGCTGACCCAGCAGGTTCCCACCCGCCTGTCCCACACAGCAAAACCCTGGCAGCTCCAGCGCAGGGGCAGGGGCTGCCCAAGTGCTGCTGCTGGCACCGCCTGCATCCCCTTCCTGCGCTCCTCTCACTGTGCAATAGGTGACTGCTGCCAGGGATCACATCTCAGCAGTGCTGTTCACACAGGGGCTGGTGCGAATCCTGCTGATGCTGTGCAAACCCCATCTCTAAGAGCCGTGCAGCACAGCCGGGGTGCCACAGCCGCTGGGGTGAGGGCGCTGCCCCGGCAATGCTGTGGCTGCCAAACGCTGGAGCCGCCGATCACTTGGGAAGGGGTGAAGCCCTGTGGGAGCCAGGAGCTCGAAACCTGCTGGTCACACAAACTGCCAGGCTCACACGGGGCTCACCCCGGCACAATGGGGCTCACCAGGCGACAGCCATTGCCGCAGGGAGCATCCTCAGTGTGCACAAGCAGGGATGTGCCTGTGTGTCCCCTGCACCGGGGGCTCATGCCCACACTTGTTCTATACCCCCATTTACCTGCAGTGCTCCCTGACCACTCCAGCTCCTGCCCGCTCCCTGCTACCCACCAGGAAGGTCAAAGCCCCAGCTTCCCATGGGCTTGGAGCCTCCTCTGCCCCACTGCCCCACCCCGGGCAGCCCAGCACCAGGAAGACTCAGCTCCTTCCACACAGACACTTGGTCCCCCCCTGTACTGAGGCACTGACCCAGCAATCCCCAACACCGGCACTTCCCCAAGCTTCCCTGTGCCCAGCCCACATCTGCCCGGTGTGCCTGCTTGTCAACACCAGCATCACCAAAGGGACTAGAGCCCATTCTGGAGGGCTGCGGTGCTCTTGGTGCCCACGCTGCTCACCACTGAAGGCCGTTGTTACACAGACACAAGCCGTGGGAACAGGGCAGCATCGCTACTGCTTCCCACAGAGCCACCGTGCTCACGCTGGGGTTGATGCCAGCAGCACCCTGCTTCTGAGGTCCCTCTGGAATGAGGGACGTGATGCACCCGCCACGCATGGGAGTCCTGTCTGGGACCAGCGACAGGTCTTGCTCATGGGGAGGGCAGCCGGGAGCCGAGGTACCACCGCATTGCTGCAGGTCCCTGGAGGAGCCCAGGGAGATCGGCCCCAGCACCCAGCATCCCACCCAGCCCTGGCTCCAGCCTCCGGAACCAGTCTGGTCCTGGGGCAGCGCAGGGAAATCTGGTTTCAAACGCACTTTCCCATTTGGGTGCTGGGCCCTCAGCTGGGGGCAGGCAGGGGCTGGGGCCGGGAGCTGGCGCGGGCAGCCTGCGCCTTTCCTTCTCATTAGCCTTTCTTCGTTAAACCATACCCCTGCACCCACTGCCTGTAATGCTTTAAAGAATGATAGATACTAAATCTAATTTAATCTACTCATTCACCCATCACTACAGTACTAAAATAGGAATATACCTATAAAAAGAGCATCGCCAGGCAGTGTAGGCCCAAATTACAGCTATTGTGGGAAAAGCAGCTTTGCAAAGCTAAAATTAATGTCAGTGTTTTCAATATATTGAAGAACAAGGAAAGCAGGTTTTTTGCAGCTTTCGAGCCCGTCCTGTGCTATGGAAGGCGGCTGCTGTGGTGCGGGAGAGCAGCCAGAGCCAGGAGCTGCTGTGCCGGGGCTCACATCCACGCGATGCACAAACCAGGGGAGAAACCAGGTTTGAAACGAACCCGCTGCTGCAACGCGCGACAATACAGCTCAGAATAGACGTGCTCCCTAAAAATATAATATGCTAAACTTGGCAGCAGCCCTTTTGCAAAGGAATTTTCCAAGCAGCTTTTTGCAGAAGCTGTTTCCTGGTGGGTCGGGTGCTGCTCAGCCGAGCCTTGGGTGCTGTGGGCTGGGCAGCGCGGTGCAACTGCAGGCACCAGGGATGCACCAGAGATGCTCCTGGTGAGCAGGGCCGGGGGGGGAGCTCAGCCCGCCTAAGCATCAGCCAGGTCCTGCACCCAGGTCTTCACACAACACTGCCTGCACCAGGGTCTGTGCCTCACTCAACGCTGATGCTGAGCCTCAGAGCATGGGTCTGTTTTGGGTCAGCACCATGCCTCGTCCTGGAGCAATTATCTGCTTGCTTGTAATTACAGCAGAGAGACTTTTTAAGCAGCAACTGATTCCTCTGTTAACGAAACGGAGCAACCAATGGCTCGCTCTGCACCCAGGTCCTCACTGAGCAAGAGCTAAACGTTATCGCCAAACCCCACCAAAGGATACAGCATTCCTGCCTGTCCCACTGGAGTGGGCTGCTCGGTCATGGTCATGCGCCCACCCTGCAGCTCCCTGCTGGAGCCCCGCTGCTGGAGGTTGGCAGGGCCAGGGGATCCCTGCAGGCAGCATGGCTGCACCATGCCGGGTGCTGTGAACCACAGCTGCTGCGGGTAGTGCTGGTTGAGCCGAGGGAGCTGCAAGGTGCCCGCATCCGCCTGCATGAGCCCTTTGCACTGCCAGAGCCCGCTGGCAGCCGGATCTTCCCTGGCGCTGAGCTCATCAAAGTCCACAGGCAACTTCATCTCTTGGTCATTCCTCCAAATACCAGCCCTGTGAGAATGCCGGAGCCGGGGAGCTACGAAACACAAGTGACCTCTTAGGGATCAAATACAGCAAATACCAACAAGCTGCCTGCAGGAAGAGGAGGTGTCCAAAGGGGTAAGGCCAGTTACTGCACTGGGGGGCAGACCCTATCACCCCCAGCTCACGTCCCCCAGGCCAGCACAGCCAGACACACACCCTGGCGCAGGAGAAGCCAGTGGCCACCCAGGCCTTTGGCACCATCCCCATACATCCCCAGGTGTGATGCGCACACATCTGCCTCCCTACGTACACACACACGCTGGACAGGGAACCGCAACCCACAGGGTCCAAACCAAGCCCGCCGCAGGCGCCAAGTCACGATGCCTCCGAGTTGAGCTGGCTGGGCAGAGGCAAGCTCTGTGGCGGGCATGGGCTCCCTGTGCACTCCTGTAGTGCAGGCGTGCTGAAGGTGTGCGCATCCCAACTCCAGAGCAAATTTGGGGCTAAAGCATCAGGGAGCAGGAGGCTCCTTGCACAGCTGGGCAGGATGAGAAGCCCTAAGCCCCTTCCCCATGTGACAGCATCAGTGACATCCCTCTGCCTGACACCTCGTTGTGACATGCACCAGGAACTCCCCATCCCCAAGCACCGGGCGAGGAACCTCAGCAAATGCCGAGTCCCAGGGATGAGGATGGAGATTTTGGCCTCCATCGCGGTCATTAGCTGGGTGAAAATCCAACTCCAAGTCTCTTCCTAAAACCCTCCTTCCTGGCTCATGAGTCCAGACCCGCTGCCAAGGAGCAGGAGGCTTCTGGGAGAGTGGGGAGGAAGAGACGCTAAACACGATGGTTGAATTAAAACAAACAGGGCGATGGGGGACCAGGAGCTGCTGGGTGCAGTTTGCTGCGCGGTGGGGAACAGCTTCTCCTTCACAGGGACCCCGAGCTCCCCCGTGCACAGCGCAGCCCCTTCGGCTGCCCTCACCACTGCTGCCCTGCAACCTGCAGCCGCAGCCCCAGGAGCCAGCAGGGAGCTGGAGGCGCTGCAGGGCACACGGCACATGCCAGCCCCTCGCTGGAGGGACAGGAGATCCCACCCAGAGAGAGAAACCTCCCGTGCAGGCAGCAGAGGCTGCAGCCCCACGTCAGCTGCAGGTTCAAAGCACCGTGCGCTCCCCTCAGAGGAATGGACCCCCCGGGACAGGTCAGGGCTCGGGGCTGGTGCCCAGTGTCTGATGTGCCTGGCGGCTGCAGGGACCTCAGCACTGGCTGACAGAGACGAGGCTGAAATCCAGACCAGCCCCAGCTCTCCTCAGCCTCTGCCTGCAGGAGGGTGCAATAAATCACGCACCCATCTTGGCCGGCCTCTGCAGCAGCCCCTGCATGAGCCCTGGCTCCGCACACAGCCCATGGCTGCTGCTGCACTTGTACAGCCAGCAGCGGCTTTGCCAGCCCCCTCTCCAGATGGAGCAGCCCTGGGCCTCACTGCTCCCACAGACAGCACAGCCACGCTCCGGCCACTGCATTCCACTTGGACACAGGGTACAGACATCCCGAGGGACCAAAAGGCTCCCTGCCCATCCCTGCTGGGGCCGAGGGTTTGCACCAGTGCCTGGTCCTCCCTGCCGGGGAAGCCGTACAGGCCACAGCGAGCGCGGTGAGGATGCCATGAATTTTTAAACTCCTGAAAGCACAAATGGAGCAGTTCTCCTGGCTGGAGATGGGATTTCCGATGCAGCAGAGCGGCTGGAGGAGGAAACGCTGCTTCTCCCGAGCTGTGCTTCCCCCGGGACAACGCGCCCGGAATCCTAGTGCACTGGGTGCAGCGCGGGAGCCAGGGCAGCCCATGGGACAGAACGCTCTGGCCAGGAGTTAAGCACCAAACCCACGGCCTGGGCACCCTCTGGCCAGGCTGCCCAGACCTGGAGCTCACCCAGACCCACCGTCCTCCCGGTGCCTCGGCAGCATCTCCCTGTCCACAGCGAGACAAACCCACACACGCTTGACCCTGCAGCCTGGCTGCAGACACATGTAACATGACAGCACACACATATGCGCACACGCGTGTGCATGCACAAGCTCATCGCCTTCCCTTCTCCCCAGAGGCTGCTCACGCCACGCAGGAGCCTCATTCCTCTCATTCCTTTACCAGAGCATCCATCATCACCGGCAGCTCTGCCTGCCGCACTGCCCGTGCCTAAGCCCTCTCCCAGTCCCGGTCACGCTTCCAACTGCCATGGAGGGGAAATCAGAGGAACCCCAAAGGAACCACAGCCGGGGGCTGTGAGCTGCCACCGCTGCCAGACGGGCCGGTGCCGCGGGGCTGGGGCCGGAGAGGCCCCGCGCCCGGGGAGGAAGCAGTTAAGCTCTGACCCTCCGCTGAGGAGGAACCGGCCAGAAACACGTGTGAAGCGAAAGCAAAAAAATCCCCCGCAGAGGGCGACTTACCTGTTGGAGGTAGAGGAAGGCTGGAGGACAGGGGAGAGAGTGAGGAAGCATGCCTGAGTTGGAGACAAGGAGGCAGCCCGAGTTAGCCATGGAGCACAGCATGTGTCGACAGGTAGCCGTGAAGCTGCTCGCGGGTCCGTCCTCTTCCGCACAGCGCTATATCCTCGTCTTCCCGGCCGGCCCCTCGGGCTCTCCCCTCCTCGCCGTCCCTCCCGACCCCTCGGCGCTAGTTAGGAGGGTTCATCTGCGGCAGGCCGCTGCGCCCGCAGCCGCGCTCCGCGGTTCACTTCGGTGCCATTAGACACTGGCACTGAGCGCACGGTCTGCAAAGGGTGTGCGTGAGCCAGAGCGGGAGCGGGAGAGAGAAAGGAAGGGGAGGAGGAAGGGAAAGAGGGCTCGGGAGCGAAATAAAAGGGGTGGGAGTTGGAGGAGGAGGGGGAGTCCCCTGTGCATTCAGACATCAAACAGAGCTCTGTATAAAATGAAGAGAATCCGTAATGACATGAGAACAGCTGATCCCGCACTTAACCCCTCCGCCGCCGCTTGCAGACGCTTCCCACCGCCCCGGCCGCACGCCGCCGCGCTGCGGGAGCACAGGCAGGATGGGGCCGGCGGCGGAACCGCCTCCCATCGCGGCGCTGGCTCCCGGGGGAGGAAGGGGCTTACCGGGAGTTTCGGTGATGCACCGCGGGCGCCCCGGGAAGCCGTGCGGAGCAGCCGGCGCTCCCAGCCCCCGCGATGGCAGCGCCGCAGCCGCGGGGCTCCCCATGCACACGCAGCCGGACACATGCACACGCACCACGCTCTCCCTGGGACACACACACGCAGACGGGGCCGGCGGCGGGCAGGGAGCCATGCAGCAGCCCCAGCCCCCGCCCCGCCTCCCTGCGAGGCACAGACCCGCTCACGCCTGCAGCACGCATGGCCCCGGCAGCCGCCGGCCTTCGCGGTGGGAGCCGCCGCAGCCTCGGCGCTGCCCAGCGCAGGGCCTGCTCCGGGCGGGCTGCGAGCCCCGCTGGCGCGGGGAGCTGCGGGAGCACCGGCATCCCCGCGCGCCCTGCGGCCATGAGGACCCCCTGCCCCGTGCTGCCAGCGGGCGGCCCTGGCGGAGCTCAAGAGGCTTTTTGGCATTTCAGACTGGCCTGCGGTACTGCCGGCAGCCCTGGCGCATCAACGCCGCGCACACCTCTGTTACGGCTGCCGTAGCAGCAGCCTACATGCCAGTGCCCGTGAGGGACAGCCGGCATGGGCACACGCTTGTGCTCGTTGGGGTCCCTGGTCCCACCTCGTGCAGCACTGGCACCCTGAGGTGCTGCAGAGCTCAGTTCTGTCACAGGGGTTCCTGTGCTGGCGTCCCACACTGCCGGCACCACATCACACCTGACTTCAGAGCCGGGACGGCATTGTGTCTGGCTATGTGGGAAATGAAACGTGGGCTTGGTTCAGTTTCCATCTTGGCCAAATGTGATGCACAAAGGCAGGTCTGTGCCAGCAGCTGCTGATGCTCCGTCTCCGCTGGAGCCTCCAGCACACAACCAGCCTTGATCGGAGGCTGGGATTTTCCACAGTATCCCCAGGCAGAGCAACACGCTGCAGTGTCCTGGTACACTCGCAGCGGTTCCTGCTCTGCTGCAGACACTCCACAGCAGTGGCGTGGCCGGCAGGAGCGACCGGGCAAACCTGGTGAAACAAACAGCTCTGGGAAAAGCTGCCCCGAGAACGGTGTCTGGGTCCTGAGGGCGCCAGCCCCCTGCAGGGTCCTGCTCCTGGGGTGACCATGCTCCAAAGGGACCATGGGGTGCCAGATCAGGCAAGGGACATGGGGTCTCATCACCACCACCCCGTGGTACTGAGAGGAGCCTGGCAGCAACATCTGCTACCAGCAGCATCCTCTGGCCACCACTCCATGTGAGGAGCATGGGCTGCAGTGAGCTCCCATGTCCCACCGCCACTGCTTGCCCTCCACTGCCCATGGCACCAACACAGATCCCAGTAGAGCATCCTGTCCCGCACACCTCGGTGCCCAGAGCCAACACTGCCCACTTGCCTCCAGCTCCCCTTCCCTAGGGACCCTGGCAGCCCCAGTACCATGCAGTCCGGCATGCCCTGGTGCATGGGCAGGACGTAGGGCTGGAGGACAAACACTGTGGGGAGAGGAGCCCACCAGACCCCATGTACACCTGAGCACCCCACAGCACTGCACAGTGAGAGACACCCTGGGCAAGGTGACGGGCAGCTTCCGAGGCCCTTGGGCTGGTCGGGCTCCATTGCAGCTCCTGCGCTGCTCAGGCAGAGGTGACCAGGGAAGGGCATGGCCCAATGCTCCGGGCTGCGGTGCCCAACCAAGCAAACCATGGGAGGTGGGAGCCAGCTCTGGGATGAGGTAATGTGCCTGTCCTCCGCACCAGAGCCTGGCTCCGGGCAGGGTGAGTGACTCAAAGGCGTTCCTGGCCAGTGGCAGTGCCACAAGCCAGCAGCCGTGTCATGGGAAGGTCCTGACTGGCTCCAGCCGCAGGGCAAGGAGAGACGCTGCTTTTCTGCAAGGAGAGTGCATGGAGTGGTATGCTGGGCAGAGACCCCAGCCCCGCTGGTGCAGACCCTCAGCACCACCAGCATCAGCAGGAACCAGCCATGTTTCTCCAGGATAAATGCAACGGGGAAACCGGGCACGGATCGAGGAGCCAAGGAGCATTTGAGTCTCCTCTCCCCCTCCTTCAGCCATCACCAGCATCAGCCTGGCTGCAGAGATGCCCTCACAGCAGCGGGGAGCCCCCGTGGGACACCAGCACAGCAGTGCCAGCCCGAAGCAGGGAGCATGTCACCAACCACCACCAGTGGATGTCCCTCACCTGCTGCTCCCACCTGCCTCGGCAGTGCCACTGCCGCAGCCAGGCCGATGGCACCAGCAGCGCACCAGGGCTGTGCCCAGCCCTGCGGAGACGCAGCCCCAGAGGGGCCCCTCCAAACCTGAAGTCTCCTGGAATGAAAGTTTATTTATCTGTTTAATTAAGATGTGTTCACCAGGCACACAGACCCCGTTCCATCTGTCTCACTTACAGCCGCGTCCCAGTAAAATTAAACCTAATAAATATCAGAGGAGGGAAAGCAAAGGGCACATGTAAGATATATGATCAAAGGCAGAAGTTGCACAGGGCTGCAGTTCTAAGCACATCTTTCTCTCTGCCCTTCGGGGATGGGTTGGCGATGCGCTCCCGTGCACAGGATGGGGCTGGCTTTCCTTCAAATCAGCACTTTTCCCTTTTTTTTTTTATTTATTTCCAATGAACCCTTGAGGACTCCTTGGTTTTTGTTTTCTGGAAGAGGGAGAACAGCATGGCACCAGGACAGGAGTGGCCTTGGCCACTGGTCTAGAGCCCAGCAAGGTGCCAGAGCCAAGTGGCAGAGCCTGTGCTGGGAGAGCTGATGGGCACGTGTCCCTGAACCATGAGGTAACCCACCAGGAAGAGCTCCCAGACCACAGGGATGCTCCAGTGCAGGTGGCTGGGAGCCGGCCTGGAGGCAGAGCTGCTGGAGGTGCCCAAGGCTGGGGGATGTCAGAGCTGCCGGTACCCAGCTCCCCTCAGAGGAGGAGGAGGAACGCTCGCCTCTGCCATCCAGAAACTACATCCTACAGAAAGGAGGGCTCCCAGCTCTGCCTGGAGCCCTGGCAAGGGCTCTGCCCTGAGCCTGCCTGAGCACAGGATGTCCCAAAGCCACGGCAGTCATTCATTAAAAGCTCATTAGAAGTTCATCACAGACATAAGGCAAATAGATGAAGGCACTGGTGGATTAGAGCTGCTGTGAAGCGAAGGGAAGGTCCCACACTGCTGGCACAGACCAGGACAGCGAGAAGGGACTGACAGAGGTGACGGGTAACAGCCCTACATGCCAGCAGGCTCTGCCCCACTGCAGGGAGGTCCCTGCCCACCTCCCTTCCACATCCACACCATCACTGTGCCACTGCTCCCTCTGCTTGAGAGATCCCAGCCCCTCTCTGGAGACACCCACCAGCCACGCAGAGGTTCGCAGTGCCTTGCTCCACCTCTAAGAGACAGACATGGTTTAAACCAACCACAGGTGTACTGGATCCTGATATGGCTGATAGGGAGCAGCCTTGCCAGGGCACACGCATCCCAGGAGTGCGTGTGGGGTGTCGAGGAGGATGTCCCGGCTCCCTGGGGATGCCTGGCCTGCACCCTTGTCACCTGCCTGCCACCTTGTTCTACATCTCCTGCTTCCTCCTCCTCCTCTTCCTTGTCCAGCAGCTCCCAGAGGGGTTACTGGAACCCTCGCCTGCTCTCAACTCCCAAAGAAGCCAGAGATTACAGTGAAAACCTTTACTCTGCAGCACCCCAGCACCCTCACTGCTGCTGCTGCCTCTGCCCTCAGCTGCCACATCCCTGCCTGCCACATCGCTGGGTGAGGAGGGGACCATGACCAGCCCACGGCAGCTGTGGCAGCCAGGAGGCGAGCAGAAATGCAGAGAAAGCACATGAAAGTTTAATGGGATCTAGGGAAAACCGCCACCTCACTGGAACTTTCCTTGCCCGCTGCAGGGAGGGATGGGATAGGGACCTGGAGATATTTTGACCTCCAGCCAGATCTGCCAGTGCTGTGCGGAGTGGGACAGCGGCTGGGCCAGTGCCTGGGGATGTCCCGCTGCCCTTCAGGTGCCTCGGGACCCTCGGTGCTCACCACAAAACAGCGCCCAGTCGCAGCATCCCGAGGTGCACAAGCAGGGAAGCCGGGGCTCCCATCCCACCACCACCCAGCACGAGCAAACTGGTCCCAGGCATCTTCTGGCAGCCGGCCATGCTCGAGCTCACTGCGGGACTCACGGCAGCTCCCGTGGGGCACGGTTTATACCTGTGGCTGGGCAGGACAGGCGGGAGCCATCACCGCAGCAATGAGAGCGCTGGCGCCTGCCAGAAGCCCTTGTGCTTGACACAGTATTTACACAAGGCGGCAATCAGGCTCCCCAGATGGAATGAGCATTATCGTGCAGGCAGCAGAGCCGGGGTGCAGCAGATACTGCTGAGCACTGTGGGCTGAGCGGGCAGCACCAGCAGGTAACACACTGCACCACACCGGGCAGGGCACCAAGCACCAGTGCTGCTGGGGCCAGAGCCATGGCCGCTGCGGAGTGGAGGTGATGCAAGGAATGAGCAACTGCAGACCTGGGAACCCGAAACGCCACATTCCCAGAGCCCCTTCCCTGGGATCAGACCTGCTGCCTGATGAGGGGTTCCCAAGGAAAACACCCCCACTGCAGGCTGCAGCGGGGCTTTGGCAGCTGCCCGGGGGCACCAGTGCATGGGGCAGGATGGGATGGTCAAGCCCAGGGCTGTCAGTGCATCCCCGAGCACGGGCACAGGGGGCACTGCTGGTGCAGGGCACAGGGCAGCCAGGCAGGGATCACACCAGGAACAGCATACAGGTGGGCAGAGAGGAGCACCAGTACTCTGCAAGTAGACACTCAATCCTCATTATAAGGCTTTTTAAATGCACAGACAGGATATTAGCGTTTAACCAGGCTCTAGGACTCCAGGGCAAACTTTAAAAATCATAATATTTATAGAACCCTCCTTCCACTCACCCCACATGCTCTTTATTTCCTCTGCAATTACTGCTAATTTGAAGACATTTTGCTTTGGCATCTCAGCTTGTTGCGGTGCCGATTCCCGAATCACCCGCTGCTGCCTGCCACCGCAGTGCTCCCACGGGGCCGTGCTCCTGCCACACAGGGAACCAAACCCCTGTTCCCATGATGGAGAGGCACCTACAACGCCAAGAAACCACCATGCAGGGAGCAAAGCCCTCTCCCAGCCTTGCTGGGACCCGCCGCACCGAGACCCAGCCCATGCACCGCATGGGACGGGGAGGGAGAGCCTCGAGCATCCTGCACTGCCCAAACAAACACCCTGCGGGAGCTCCCATGGGCACAGGCACCCGGCGGTGCTGCCTGCACCCAGCACTGTCCGGAGCTCAGCAAAGCCACACGGCACCTAAGGAATCTCGAGTGGAAACTCCAGAGCAGCTGCCTCCAGAGCCATTGGCAGCTCATGAAGTCTCTGGGCAGAATTAAGGCCCCAGCAGAAGGCTCCTGCACTGAGACCTCTCATGACAAAGCACCTTATGCCTGGAAGCTGGGTCCCTGAGAAACAATGAATTCACGTTATCCTCCTCCTCCCTGTAAGCTCCTTTCCCCACATCCCCCTTCAGCCGCTCTGCTCCTTGCTCCGGAATCCAGCTCTCTGAAGTGTGTATCCCCCCGCAGGCTGCCACAGCCCCCCAACACCTCAGCCAGCTCCAGGGGAGTGGGAGCAGGAGGGAGGTGGTGGAAGGAGCTCGTGCACTGGCTTAAACCCCAGTTCATGGGCCAGGATGGCACAGGGAGGCCCCCAGGACGGTGCAGAGCCTGATGCTGAGCCCAGCTCCTGCACCTTTGGGTGCAGACCTGCAGGAAGCTGCTGTCCTAAATCACCTTCCCCTCTGCTCCCTGTCCCAGCCATGCCAGGAGAGCAGCTCACACCCACATCCAGCATCCCATTCCTGACCAAAGTGCCTGGACAGACCCCATCACATCCTCCTCTTCCCCATCCCTGCTCAAAGCCCTTGGGATGGCTGGGAGGATCTCAGCATCCCCTTGGATGGCTTAACAGACCCACTAGCATAGGTCCTGAACCCTGGAGAGCCCAGCCCTCCATGCCCCCAGCTTGGTGGGGAACAACCAGACAGAACCATGCAGGCTCCAAACCACCTGGACAGGAACCCACCGGAGCACAGCGCTCACTAACCCGGCACAGCTGAGAGGGGATGGGGCTGGGGGTGTTCCTGGGTAGCCCCAACCACCCCATGCAGGAGACGGGGCTGCTGCCCGCAGCCAGCACCGTGCAGAGGGAAGGCAGGATGGTGATGGGGGTGCCCTCAGGCAGTGCCCAGGCAGGGACTGCTGCCTGCCTCTGCCTCCCTGCCCAGCACCAGGCCTGCCTCCAGCATCACATCACATCCCCTGCCTGCAAGCCACGAGGAAAGCTCTTCCAGCCTGGCATCAGCCAGGAAGCAACAACAGCAAGAAACAGCCCTGACCCTGAGCAAAACCCGGCAGAAAGGGAGGGGAAATGCCCACCCTTCATGCTGGTACCTACCCAAAAGTACATCATCATGTTGGCAGCTGGGTGCTGAGGAGGGCCGTGGGACCGGTGGGAGGGTGAAGGGCTGCTCCCCGATGCCAGCTGCGCTGAGCACCGCTGCTCCTCGGTGGGCTCTGTCCCCTCGGGTGCTCAGTGTCCAGCTCCAGTGCCAAGGGCCAGCATGGACGAGCACCCTGTCTTCTCGCCTCACTTTCTGGCACAGTGCGGTTGCTCGCTGCAGGCTGCTGTGAGCTTCAGAGCCAGCTGCCAGCACCAGGCATGCTGCTGTGGGGTGGGCTGCAGAGCAGGGATCAGAGATGGACACAGGGCAGCCCTGGGGGTGCTGGGGGTTTATCCACCCCCGGAAATAAACTGGGAGAGGGATGGAGAGAAATGAAACCCTCTCTGCTCTCTCAGAGCCCAGCGCAGGGTGAGCGTGCGGGGGGAGGCCAAGGTGAGCACCCGGAGGCCAGGGCTGGGGCGAGCGCAGCAGCGTGTGGGCTCCGGCGCAGCAGCGTGGGCTCCGCTGGCGCTCGGAGCAGCCGATGTCCTGCCGCAGCATTTCTCAGGCGCCCTGTCGGTAAGGGAGTCCGTCCTCGCTCTCGTGGTTAACCTGCGAGGTGCCAGCCGGCACCCCCGCTTCGCACAGCCACACGTTCTCCATCCCCGCTCCCCGCAGGCAGGGGTGCGCGGCCGGGGTCCGGCAGACCCGGCTGGGTTGGGCTATCCTGGGGCATCACCCACTTTGCTGGATGCAGCCAAGCTGCGGCCGAGCAATGGGGATGGCCCCTGCACAAGCAGCTACCTGGGATGTGACCACCGTGGTGTGCATGGGAGCAACATCCGGGAGCCCCACCGACAGTGGGGCACTGGCCCCGGGCATCACGCCCCGACCTCGCACCCGGGTCCCAGCTTGGGCATGGCCCCTCGGCTCGCTGCTGCTCAGGCACTAAATCTCTGTCCCCCTGGGGCCCCACTCGGTGGAGGAGTAACGGGACCGCGAGCACTCGACTGAGAGTGAGGGAATAAATAAGAATAAGGGGAGGCACAGGAGCGAGAGGGGCGGCAGATTGGTCTCTGGGGCCCCGCTGGCTCTGACACCTCCACCCCATAATCATATTCAAAGCAGAGCCGCGCTGAGGCATTTCTCCTCCAGCACAGCAATAAAAGAAAGCAACACTCTCAATAATTCAGCACCAGGAGAGGGTGATAAAGCAGAAGAGCCACCACTGCAGGCAGCTGGGATGGGGGCTTCCCACTCCCTCCTGTATCTTGGCGATCAAAATCCTCTCCTCCTCCTCTGTGACCTGCAAAACCAGCGCCAGCCGTGCCCTGGAGCCCCACAGCTTGCTGGAGGCCCATATCACTGCATGGGACATGCTCCCAGTATGTGTCAGATGCAGAGACTGGGGACAGAGCAGCCCAGTGCAGCAGAACAAACCCCCTCCATCACCACTCAAGCCACAGCCGAGGGTCACTGGACAGGGAGGCAGCTCAGCTCCTTGGCACAGGTCCCTTTCCAGCACTGTTTCACCTTCTCCCACTTCAGCATCCACAGCTCCACATCCACAGCCACCAAGGCACCTCTGCAAACAGTGCCTGTCACCTGCAGCCACGTCCCAACTCTCCCATCCAAACCAGCACCGGGGCTGCTCAGCTGCAGGACACAGACCCCACCGCAGGACACGTCATCTCTCCAGACACAGTCACGGCCTCCAGGCACCCGCAGCCCAGCCCGCAGCATCCCCAGGGACCGACCCGAGTGCCGCCAGCCCCACTGCTGCCGACCAGCACATTTCCCGCCCAGGCTCAGACCTGCAGCCCAGCTTCATCCCGATAATCCTGGCTCCTGCTGCCACCCCCTGCTCCCACTGCTGCACAGGCACCTCTGGGCCAGTGTCTCCCATCAGCATCTTCATCCCCAGCCCCTTGCCTTATCTTTGCTCCTCTGCTTTACCCTCTGAGGCCATGGGGGAGCATGGGTTTATGCTGCACTCAGTAGGATGGACCTTTGGAGGGACCTCGTCCCCCCACCCTGAGATGGGACTAGAGTCTACTGCCGTGAAGCAAAGCAATGTGAGGTTCTGATGGGAAGAAGCCATCTCCATCTGCCCAGCGGGCACTGGGCTGGCTCTCTGTGTACATGCACAGGCCATCGCCTGCCTGATCTGGGTCTCAGCCTGGGTAACACCATGAACTCGTGTGACACAGCAGGGGCTGCAGGACCCTGGGGCAAGCATCACTCACAGCAGACAACTGCCAGGTCAGGGCAGGACCTGGGGCTGGTGCCAGTGGTAGGGGCAGAGTCCCCTCCCCAGGAGCTGCACAGAGCACAGACAGACAGAGAGCAGCGTCAGCACACACGGACAGCTCACAGACACTGCAGCCCTCGCGCCACTCACATCACGCCTGCACGGGGGCTCAGCGCCTGCTGGGTGCCGGATGCTGGTGGAGGGGAGCATCCGCCACCTCCAGCACAGGCTCTGCCCCATGCCCCCTGGCCCCGCAGCAGCAGCACCCAGCCCCTCACATGCAGGTGTCAGCATGCAGCTCTCAGTGTGGCCCCAGAGGGATGCCAGGCCCCGAGCGCAGTGGCTTGGGCTGTGCAGCCACTGCCCAAGCCCCAGAGCAGCCCTCGGCTCTGCAGCAGCACCGAGCGCCTCGTACCTTTTGTTCAGCCCAGCTCCTCCTGCGGTGCTCACGCTGGGCTCTCTAAGGAGAGACAAGAAAGAGGAGGAAGGATTAAAATCAATGATCATCATCACTAACCTGCTTACAGTCAATGCTGTTTGCTCATTGACTGGCAAAACGTTCGGATACAAGTAGGAACGTGAGGATGAGCTCCCGGCGTGCTGGGAAACCTGCTCCGGCTAAGAGCTGTGGGGTGGCTGAGCCCTGACATAGATCAGCAGCAGCTTCTCCAGCTCTGACAGCAGACCCCGATCCTGACCCAGCTCTTATGGACCACAGGCCCCTTCCTCAGCTTCCCCGAGCGTCTGCAAGCACCAGCCCAGCCCCATGCAGAGGACACGGGGTTGGATTGGACGCAGCCCTTGGCAAAGGAATGGAGAGTTCAGCGTGCCCAAACCCTCTGTACACACCAAAGATGCTGCGGTGGTCCTGCCCCTGGCACTGCCGTCCCTGCCTCGCTCCCGGTGCGGTCCCACCAGGAGCGAGCCCTGCAGCTCCCGGCACTGCTGCCCCGGCTCCGGGCCCTTCCTGGAGAACATCGCCAAATTTCAAAGAAAACTTCCTGAAAGCTGCACTTCAACTAATTGGCTTCTGCAGCATTGCCAACACAAATGTTCATAAATCATGTCAGACCCTCAGAAATAATGAGAACAGCTTATACATCACGAGAGTGCTTTAAAAAGAGTAAGCCAGGGCTGTTTCTGTTTGTTAATCGCTTCTTTGGGGATCAGGAGGTGTCGAGCCCTGCAGCAGCAGCGGCTCTGCCATGCAGTGTGAAGCTGCTGTGCTCCTCTAGAGCATCATCCCAGGAAAGCAGCACCCTAAGATGCGGCAGCTCTGGGTGTCAGTACCCTGTGCCCAGGGCTGGGGGAGCAGACGCTGCCCCAAGCCCGTGTCCAGATCCCTGTGAACATTTGGATGTCCAGAGGCCCAGCCCCGCACGGTGGTGGCTCTGGAATAGCGGAGCCAGTTCCCAGGCCCCTCTGTTAGCAAACACGGCTCTCAGCCGCGCAGCAGGATAATCAATTATGGTAATTCCTGCCTCAATGAAGCAGATTCATGGAGGAGCACAGCTCATTAGGCTGGTGCTGACTTCCATTAGTGCTCTTATGATAAAAACCCTCCAGAAAGCTCTCGCCCAGCCAGACTCGGCGTTTTCCAGCCTCCGGAGCCGCCCTTCCCAGCCCTCCGCCAGGGCGGACTTGGCTGCGGGACATGGGAGCCCTAGAAAGTTGGTTGGGAGCTGCCTGCCCCCAGAACGGAGGGGACGCGGTGCAGGCCAGCGGCACTCCTGCCTCCAGCCCCCGCTCCCGAGCTTTTCCTCCCCGAGCAAGCGCTCGCAGGAGCCCCGGCTGGGGAAGCGGGAGACGGCGCAGGGGGAGCAGAGCCCCAGCCTGTGCTGCGCCGGGTTTGGGTGTGCTGGGAGCCCAGGCAGCCGCTTTGGCCATGAATAATTGAAGCGCCCTGGCTCTCCTCGGGGGGAGCCGTGATGGGTAAAGTCTCATTTCCCAAACGCGCTTCCCAAGGAAGGCGCCTTCTGAGAACCTCCACAGAGCACCGCAGGGCCCCAGCAACCGGAATGCACCGTGGGAGCTCCCGCAGCCCGGCACCAGGGCAAATCTCTGGTGGTCCCAGGCACCGCAAGGACCGGAATGCTCCAAACCGCCCTGTCCTGCACCTGCATCAAGCAGGAGAGGAAAAACCCTGGCAGAGCACTGATGGGGGCGGGCTAGGAACAGCTCCAGACAGTTGGGATCAGCATTCCTGGTGGGTCTTGCCCCTGCTCCTGCTTTTCTGGCCGAGCTCCAGGTTCGTTGGCTCTAACGAGCCCTGAGCAGCCTTGCAGGGACCCACATCCTGAACAGGCGAGCCTAACGCAGGCAGCTCACCAGCAAAACCTGACCCAGCCAAAACCACCCGGATCCAGAGCCCTGGTGCTGCACGCCAACAACCCCCATCCCCCCCTCACAATCATGGGGCAAACCCCATGGTGGCCCGGGCTCACCAGCCTGATCTGCTGGGAAACTTCTCCATAGTTTGCCAAAGCACATTTTGCCCCCCCTTCCTCCCACTAAAACCCCTAAATTAATTTTGCTTTTAATTAAATTCATTAGCAAAGATTATCTGGCTGAGGAAAAATAATATCCTGCCCCTCCCCCGGCAGCCCTCTCTATTTATATCCCTATATACATAAGCAGCAGTGAATATTTCTTTATGGGCCATTAAGGGCTTAGTGTTTAATTTATAAGCATGCTCTGTGGCGGGCGGGATGGCCGGGCAAAGTCAACACTTTTAATTAAACGAGAAGGGGTTTTGTCACTAGGATGACCAAGCGCCCGCTCCGGCAGCTCTGGGGTACGTGGCAGGTCCCATGTGGGGCTGGGGGCCCCCGTGCCGCTCTCGAGGTTTTTCACCACCGCTGGTCGTGGTGATGCTGAGCAACTTGCGGCTCCCCCCACCCAGGGAGACCCATCTGCCTTGGCAAGGGACAAGTGGAGCCCATCAGCGCACAGGGAGCATTGATGCCCCGGCAGCATCCCGGTCCTAACTCCGGTCACCAGCACACCACCAGCCTGAGCAGTTGCTGTGAGCCTTTCAACCAAAATCCTTGCTGCAACTTCTGACAATTCCCAGCACTTCCACACTTCCTCCTGCCTGAAACCTGTGGCTCTCACAGCATCACCACCTCCTCTCTCCCAGTGTGCTGCACTCACAAGGACAAAGTGCTTCAGACACACACTCCTCTAGGAATCATGGAATCCCAGACTGGTTTGGGTTGAAGGGACCTTAAAGCTCCTTCAGCTCCAACCCCTGCCACGGGCAGGGACCCCTTCCGCTGGAGCAGCTTGCTCCAAGCCCCTGTGTCCAACCTGGCCTTGAGCACTGCCAGGGATGGGGCAGCCACAGCTTCTCTGGGCACCCTGTGCCAGCGCCTCAGCACCCTCACAGGGAAGAGCTTCTGCCTAAGAGCTCATCTCAGTCTCCCCATTGCCAGCTTAAACCCACCGGCAGAGCCAGTGGCACCCGCTTGCCTGCCAGGCACCACCCAGGAGTCTGGCATTCCCAGCTCATCCCACTGGCATCCCTCCCACAGCCCCTTGTCCCATCCTGCAGCAGACACGGGGTCATGGGAGAGAAGGAGCAGTGTGTCCGTGCAGAGCTGGGCATGTCCCGGTGCCCACAGCCGCACTCGGTGCTGTCCCAGCAGCAGCAGCCTCAGCTCTTGGCAGCGGGAGAGCGCAGCCCTTCCTGCTTGGAAGACGGCGCGGGGCAGCTCTGAGTAGGCAGGTTCCCATTAATGGGGTATTTTATCTTACAGGAGAGATTAAATCTCTGTACAGAGAGGCACAAAAGAGCTGAATCAGCAGCTGGCCAGGGGATGGCAGGTTTAGCCATAAGCATTTGGCATCAGCACAGCATGTCAGAGCTTCACCCTCCCACAGCCGTGCTCCACCAGACAGAGTCCAGCATCCAGCCCCGAGCACCCCGCACACACCTCTCCCTGCCCTGGAGGAGCCGCAGGCAGCCTGGGTTATGATGGGACCAGCCCCAGTGCCATTGTACAGCCCAGCAGCCCAATGCTAGTCCTCTGCCACGCACCCAGCGAGCCGAGCACCCGTGGCACCAGTGGGCTGCCTCCCTCCCATCTCCATCATCTCAGCACAGCAAGGATGGGTTTGCAGGAGGTGCCCCAGCGTGGCCACGGTGCCCACAGCAGCGTGCGAGGGACTGTGTCTGGACCTCATCCCAGGCACAGCCCTCAGCAGGTAACACAGCCCCCAGTGCCTGCACCGTGATGGGTGCCCCTTGCACAGCTGTGTCTGAGCTCCCACAGGCACCATTCCCCACATTCAGCATGGGTCTGTGCTGGCCACACACAAGGATCAGGCGTGCGAGGGCTGGCCGCCGCCGTGAGCCAGCAGCAGAGTGGTGATGGCACTGTGCCGCTCACTAAAAGCATGAGTGTCACTAAATCAATAATTCATTTACTTTAATGAGATAAGTACTTTGAAAACTAATTGCAAACCTGCTCCATTTACTCCGACCCGTTATAGCCTTTAATGTAAATGGCAGAAATGCTGCTGGAGGAAGAGGAAGGGCTTTTGATGGGGGATAGTGTGTCATCTTTCCCCTTCTTCTAAGAAAGGGAAATATCAGCCATAAACAAGGACAGAAACCAAAGTAACTGGCCAAATCACAGCATGGAATGCTGACGGTGGAGCAAGGGGAACACACAGCCCCGCTCCTGGGGCCACCACTGTCTCCTGCACATGCTGACACCGTGGAAGGGTGCACCAAGAAACACCCCAAAGGACTGTCACTGGCACCAGGGAGACAACAGAGGAGCAGAAATACACCCAGCACATGGGAATGCTGAGCCCCAGACAGCTGCCGAGGGCAGCAGCAAAGAGAGACACCACATCTGGGGCCCTGTCCTGTCCTGGCAGCTGCAGGACTCAGCTCTACCCTAGGCAAGACCCTGGTGCTGCGTGTCCTGGCAGCAGGGCAGCAGCAGGGATGGAGCAGCAGACGGGATGGGGCACCACCATTCCCAGTGCAGCAGACCCCCTGGCCGGACCATGGGCTGGCTGCTGCTCACACTGCAGGTGGTCACTGTAACGATACCCAGCTCATTATAAACCCACCACCACAGTGCTGGCACAGCATCCTCCAACAGCTCCGGCACCAGCAGCCAGTGTGGGCAGCACAGGCAGGGGCGGGCAGGGGGCATCAGGGGGGCAGGGGTGTCCTGCCAGCTCCCAGCACCATTCCTGGAAAGGAGCAGGCGGCTCCCGGCAGCGATGTCGAAGCGTTCCTGAAGGGCAGCGGGAGCTGGATGCCAAGGGCTCGCTCACCGCTCGCTGGAGCAAACAGCAAGTCATAAACCAGAGTCGTGACAGAGGAGAAAATGTTCCAGAGTCCACAAGGACCAGGCCAGGGTAAATCCATCTGCTCAGCAATTTAGCTACAAAATCCTTCCCAATCATCTGTGCGGGAGGTCCTTCACCCCCAGCGCGGCT